GCAGTAGGCATTACTAGCCAGCACACCACTCCGGAAAACAGCATTCTTTCAAATGTGAGAATCAAAAAACTGACTGTTACGTAATACATATTTAATACGTAGAACTTATTTTTTAATTCCTTTTGACACTTATTTTATAGGTTTCCACTGCATGGAAAATCCTCTGCTGTCACAAGTCCTTTATTGACAATTTTTCTATAAGTTTTAAAATCTATCTCTCCTTTGTTGTCATAGCAAATTATCTGCTTTTTGTTACACATTTTTAAATCAAGTCCTTTTAATCTATAATCGCAACAAATTTCTATTTTTTAAAAGGTGAATAATTTTTGTGCAGGATTCTACCTCTGATTTTATGCTGCGTTATATGCCTCGGAAGAATGCTAGCATAGTATTTTTGCCTTTTACAAACTTCAGTCTTTCTTTATGACTTTATTCTCAGCAAATATAAGTATTTAAGAACTAATGATATTGCTTGTTGTGTCGTTAAATCATTTTTGAAAGTGTTCGCTTTAATTTTTGAAATATGTAGCGCTTTAGAATGAGCACGAACATTTTATTTTCTATAGAAAGTGATTAACAGTTTGTTTCCGATTATAAAACATTATTGTTCATTGAGCCCTTAGGTCCTTGATTTCAAGATTTATACATAGTTTCTACGCTGAAACTTAACCTACTGAGAATTCTTCTTCGAGAAGTAAAAAAAGAATCTGGGTTTCCATCCGAAATTTATTTGCACGAACCATTTTCGAATTATGAAAATTTTGGCTATAGTAGAAAACAATTTATTCTTCAGTTATTGATAACTGTTTCTTTATATCTGTTAATTTAAATCACTTTCTTTATCCAAATCTCTCAACAAGTGTGCGAAAAACTTGTATATATTCATGCCCATCAAAGAACTCATAGTTAACAAATAATACCTTAATACAAAAGCTTAACTAATATGTTTCTTATTAACTAATTTAGATCTTTTCTTCTCTAAGTAAATTTATCTTTGAAAACTTGTTTAAATATTGAATACCATTGCAACGACGGTCTTTTGAATTTGGATCAAAGTTTAACATTCATGAAGAAACTATTAATATTGCTTTTTCCTTCAGATTTCATTATTTTAAGTCTGCTAAAAGTCATGTTCTGAATTTTTTTTTTTTTTTTTTGTTATATTCTTTAGCTATTTATTTCAATGCCGTCTTAGAATTCGTTGCAACATAAAAGATACTGAATTTAAAAGGAAACATTTCTGTGAAGAAAGTAATATATTTCATATACCATTAATATTGGGTTGCAAAAAAAGGTAATCTCGTTTTTTTTTTTTTTAAGCGAGATATAAAACACAATTTTTTCTGTCAAAAAAAAAAATGAACTTTAAACAGCCAAATATTTTACATTCTGTTCAATGACTTCTTTCTGGTAATTTCATAATTCAGCGCTCACAGAACTTCTGGATTTTATCGGCAAGAAATAAAGAAAACGAAAATCAACCAATTCCAATTTGAGGTTAATTTACTTGCCATTTAAGTTGGTACTTTGTTATAAGCGGCTCCCGAGACTGAATCGCCAATCAACTGAGATATCTCGCCAAAATCTGGCTGCGTGCTCTTATACCTCACCACGCGATAGTATATTAGCAGCGGCTACGTGTTCTTATACTTCGCCACATAATCTCGCCCTGTGCAGTGTTGGATTGAGACTTGATGAGGCCCTAAGATTTTTGAGATATGGAGTCCTTAATAAGTCTGTTATACTTTATTTTAATACTATATTTATACTATATTTAAAATTTTTGTCTATTTCAAGCTATAGCTTAAGGCCACAAGAAAGTGGGGGCCCTAAGTCATAACTTGTGTTGCTTATACGTAAATCCTGTACTGGCCCTGTGTGTGAATATGACGTTAACGATCTTTAATTAACTAGAAATGAGGTGGATGCCATATTATTTTTTCATGAAAGAAGTCTTTTACCTGACAAACGAGTATGCAAAAGTGGCCACAACGTGAAACTTTATGTTAACGACAAAATCGTTTGGAGGTGCAATGTTAAAAATCGCAAATTGAAAAAGGGCCTTCGTGTTGGAAATTAGTTCAGCTGTTCCGGAATATCTTTCGTCACTGCCATTAGGTTTATGTATTCTTGAGCAGAGGAGTTGATGTCCATGAAATTGTGTAATTGATTGGAACAACTACATGTGATAAAATAATAATAAAGATAAACTATATTCTTAAGAAACGACATGTACTATTGCTATTATTATATATTGTGCTGTTCATTTTTATATTCGCGCTTCAAGAGCTTGGCGAATAAATTCATTCACTAACTAAAAAAAATGTAAGAAATTATAGCTAATTAAATCTAAAATTGCAAAATTAAATCTAAAATATGGTTCAAGACCGTTATATCGAAGAAGCACCAAGAAGTTTTGCAAACTTCGAAATAAATGACAATCCGATGGTGCATGTTGGGAGCTAAATGGGATATGCGACGTCACTTTCCAGACAAGCTCCAATAATTTCGTACGTGTTGCTAAAGATGTGAAACCTCGCATTGTCGTGGTGGAACACGATTCGTTTATTGGCAGTAAATATCTGAGTTAATTTGGTTGTTTGGAAGCAGCTCAAAATGCAGAATACACTCATAATCCCACCATGGCAGCATAATCTTTATCTGATGCAATTTAGCTTTCGATATAATTTTCTCTGATTCCTCACGCTTGGACCATGATCTTTTTCGAGAAAAGTTATTATAGAGACAATCCACTTTTCATCACCAGTGATAATTCGTTTCAAAACTTGGTCGACTGCATTACGTTTGAAATGCTTATCGCAAATGTTGATTCGTTGGGTTAAGCGATTTTTTTGTAATTCATTAGCAGCCCAAATACCGAGCTTCTTAACGAGTTCAAGACATCTTAAGTGATTTTCAATTGTTGTGTATGATATATTTTTCCTGCACATTTTGATTCGATTTAATTTTGTCATCATTAACTTCAAAAGGTCGGCCAGAACTTTGGTCATCTTCAAATGAAAAATCTCCAGAATGAAATTTTTTAAACTATTTCTGACCCGTACGTTCTGTTAAGCAATCAACACCATAATCTACATATATGTCGTGTTGAGCCTCAGCCGCATTCTTTTTGTCTTTCTGAAAATAAAAATTTTAAATCTATCGAAAGTGTTTATATTTGCACCCCATGTGAAAACTGACCACAAACTAACAGTTGTAAACAACAAACACACAGAATTGGTTTCTATAGCAACCTAAAGTTGTCGGCTGCCCAATCTCAAAAGGAAAAAAAATATGTTACTTTTGATATTCTTCTATCAGTCTCATAACACTATCTTATTTGGGACAACCGAAATTACTTTCTTTCCAACCCAATAACTTTAATTGATAGTAACAGAAACATTGAGTTTAAAGGTTACATTTTTAATTATTTTTATTTGGCACTCAAATAGAAAAGTTTAAATTTATATCAAGAATGTTCAGCAAGAGAAGCATGCTTAAAAGAAAAATAATTCATCCCACCTAAATTTCAGAGGCAGAAGACAGCAAAGAGGATTGGCCCATTTCCATGTAAACAGTAGGAGCATTTGACAGGTTCGGTGGTTTCGATTTGCAACAAATACACCAACGAGGAAATATACACCTATAATTTATAAATTCTACTTTCAGTTTACTTTCACAGAAATCAATATAAAAAAAAACCTGTAAATTTTAGACATCACTCTAGCTTATTAAAGATCTACAGCACCATTTAAATACAGGTTAGGTCATTTGAATATGGCAAAGTCCACAATGGTTATCTGCCTAAGAATGGAGATGTTTTAATGATTTCTTTAGAAAATTCATTATTGTTAATTTGCAACTCATAAGCCGCAAATTATACAAATGTGTAATTTAATAAGTGACCAGTTGGGAATAAATTATAACAAAATATACATTCATTTGTTTGCCAAAGGGGATTAAGCCCTTATGGGAAAAATCTTCGACCGAAGGTATTGAAATTAATTTGCATTTCTATCACCATGAAAGAAAGCACGGATTCACACACGTAGCCAACCATTTTTACCATCTGTATTTGTAGACACTAAAATTACTAAACAGCATTTTTGTATGACTATAAGATGTAAAATTTAAAAAAGGTAGTTGAAGGACACACTGGAGACAGGAAAATTAATGAAAATAATGATATCCATTCTTTTCATATTTAAAATTTCAGCTAATATTGAACTATAATATTAACAATCATAAATAATAAAGTTAGGTAGTTACGGTATTATCTCATCAATCGGCCAAATAGCCGTATTCAACACCAACTATGGATGACCGTGTCCTTTAGAATTCCGCAGTAACGACTAACGACCATTGCCGGAATTTCCGCCAACGGTCCACGGTTAATGCGTAAGTACTTAAAGTTAGTTAATAATAATGCTTACATATTAATTATAAATAATTGTTAAACAAGCATTTTATGATTTGTAAAATTCAGTCTTTATGTGCTTCAAATGGATTGGATTGGATTATTCAGTTATGGAAAAGCACACGAGGGCTATCTGCCTAAGGGGAGGGATGCCTTCGTGGAGGACTTTCTAAGGAAAACTGGCTCGTATACACGTTACACATGAGGAAAACCACGAAAACGCCCATGCAGCCAGCCCGTTCGCGGGATTCGAACCTCGGACCGAACTACCAGTGTTCAGCGTCTTTACCGCTCGGCCGCTGGTGGGCTGTGCTTCAAATGAGATAGCTTTATTATTTCGAAAGGCATCGTTTGTGCAAAAAACCGCGATTTTCATCTTCAAAACCACATTATTCTTTCTTTCGAGGAACAGAAACCACATCTTATCTCTATAACTTATTCATTCAAAACGTAAAATATTAGGAAGTGAAGTTTTAAATATTTTTCATTTCCAGCATTTCAAATAACTACCTAACTTTGAAGGAGGAAATAAATCTTTTATCAAAATTATTGTATTGAACTAAGCAAATCCAATGAAACTTACTTGATCGTAGGGGACTGCTTGCACGTGAAAAGCCATATGGTTGTAATCAGAACTCCAGCCATTTCCCTGAAAATAGAAATGAAATTGTAAATAACGTAATTATGGGGCAGGTTTTAAAATGCTTTTAGGAATGTGATTAAGGAATTACAAGAAAACTCATAAGAGCAATGTTAAAGCATCTGGAAATCAAGACATTCACGTTTTCTTATCTCTTGAAAAAAAAAAAAAACTTAATAATGGCAGTCACTGGAATCAAAATCTTTCGAGGAGGGGTCAAGTCTCTCTAATGTTTCACAGTGGTAGAAACACAATAACATAAATTTGAAGGCGAAAGTATAATCGTAGTCGAAGTTTCGATGTTGCAATGGTAAAATACTAAATTGCAGTATAATCTACAAATGTTCAAAAACACAAGATCATCCAAAAAACAGGACCTTGATTTTAAAGAGTTTTATTTAATAAAGGGTACTTACGTATTATCCCGTCGACTGCGAAATTGTCAAAAAGCAGGGCGAGTTGTGCCAGTTATGTAAGCGTAACGTAACAAAATAACTCACAACATCTGAGTATTCGTCTGATGTTACCCCGACTGATCCTCATTAAACCAGTTTTTGTTTTCATGAATAAGAACATAAAATAACTACTCTTGCTTTATTTTTCTTGCATACTAAAAAATAAATGATTAAAATTTAGGACCTGAATTCTACAAAATAGTAAACAGTCGATTATTTTCAAAGTTGTGAGGCCTTACCATTAAAAAAAAAGTGTGCAGTAATAGACACCATGTAGTCAGCTGAATACGGAGGAAAAACAATCATAGATTGAAACAATCATTTGCTGAAAGTTTGTATTAATGGGCGTTAAACAGAGATTCTGGTGAAATCGGAGGGTCTGAAAAAATAGTAGAAACCGAAACATGCCTTTTTATTAAGAGCAAAAACGAAGCATGTCGAATACAGATTCTTATTAAATAAAGAGGCGTCAGTTCTTTCTGAATTCCACAGGAAAGACTGGTGCAAGTTTGGCTCAGGATCTCAGCTAATTTTCATAGTTCGATGGTAAGCAACATTCACGATTAAACGGATAATACGTCCACTAGCGGTCGAGTTGTAAAAGCCCTGAACACTAGTAGTTCGGTCCGGTGTTCCAGTTCCGGCTAATGGGGCTGGCTGCAAGGGCATTTTCGTGGTTTTCTCCGGGTGTAACGTGGATGCGAGTCAGCCTCCCTTAAAAAAAAATCTCCGCGGGGATCCCTCCTTCCGCGTAGTGTTGGATTGGATTGGATTATTGTAATTTGGCACAAAACCTGTCAAGGTTATCTGCGCTAGACAAATGGTAACAATGCAATTAGTCATTTGTAAAAACTTCCAGCTTAGGTAAAAAGAGACAGATTACAATCTATGATAAAAGCTGATATCTTTTAAAAAACAGGTTTAAAGTCTATTATAAAAGCCAATATCTTTTAAAAACAGAAACAAATTAAGATGATGTGTTTTTCCAATTAAATTTCCTAAGTCCAGTTCTGAACAATTAAAATGTTTTTGGCGAAAATAATTAAAACTCTGGCATTCCACCAAGATGTGATGGACTGTCAGATTTGCATTGCAGTTTGGGCAACTGGAATTCTCTTCTCCCTTCAGAAGATACTCATGGGTCAGACGACAATGGCCAATTCTCAGTCGAGTCAAGAGGACATCCTCCCTTCTATTAGCCATACATGGCCAGTATTCAATGGTGGGTTTTACATTTCTCAGCTTGTTATATACTTTGTCATCCCATTGCTTCTGCCATTTGCTGAGAATTTTGCTTTTGACAAACCCTTTGATGTCTGCCAGTGGAATCCGAAGATTGTACATTGTGGTTGCAGTTTTAGCTGCAATATCTGCCAATTCATTCCCCTTAATGGCAACGTGTCAAGGGATCCACGAATAAAGAATCTGGTATCCCCGAATTTTTAACGAATGATTCAGCTTCAGGATTCTGGTTGCAACTGGGTGAGTACATTAAGCGTGATTTTACAATGACATTAAGGCACTCATGGAATCTGTGTAGATAATAAACTTTATGTACTTTTGTTTTGAAAGGTAAGTCAAAGCCAGATGGATTGCAGTAAGCTCAGAAGTAAGCACAGAGCAAACTGTATGTAATCGAACCCCTGTGACGAAAGCGGCACCAACATGATCCTGGGATTTTGATCCGTCTGTATATAGAGGGATATATTTCCTATATTTGTTTCTATGTTAAAAAAAAAATATGCTTGTAGATGATTTCGTTAGTTTGTGATTTACTCCAGTGTCGAAATGTATCCAGAGAATGGATTCTCCAATCCTCCCAAGGAGGAATCCAAAAAAATCCTCCACCTGTATATCTATATTAGACAAATTATACTCCTCCACCAAAGCACTCATCCGCAAGCCGAAAGATGGGACACATGATGGTCGTGCCTGATATAAACGGGAGTATTGGTCAGTAAGCAATTTTGACCGCGTAGAATTTTCGGTTTGTGATAAGACTTGAAATAAGCTTAAAACAAAGATTTTCACGTCTTAACCGCAGGGAGGTCTCGTTACTTTCCACATATAAGCTTTCCACTGGAGAAGTTCTAAAGGCGCCAGTGCATATCCAAAGTGCTTGGTGATGTATCGGATCAAGTTTGGCTAATACTGAAGGCCTTGACGACCCATAAATGATTGATCCATAATCTAGTTTCGAACGAATGAGAGCTCTATAATATAAGAAGCATTGAGCCTCGATCAGCACCCCAAGAAGTATTTGATAGTACTTTCAGAATATTCATAGCTTTTAAACATTTCTTTTTTAGATAGGTAATATGGGGAAGGAACGTAAGCTTATGGTCAAATATCATTCCTAGGAATTTTATTTCCTTTTCTACAGGAATCAGCACATCTTGCAGATAAAGTTCGGGGTCTATGTGAGGAATTTTCTTTCGACAGAAAAGGACACACACAGTCTTTTGAGTAAAGAATCTAAAACCATTTTCCTGCGACCATTTAACAATTCTATTGAGAGATGTCTGCAGTTTACACTCAATGTCTTTCAGGTCTTCTCCTTGGCAACTGACTTGCAGTTCATCGACGTAGAGCATACCCTGGACTGCTGGAGGCAGTTGTTTTATAATAGAGTTAATTTTTATGCTAAATAATGTAACACTTAATACACTTCCTTGCGGAACGCCCTCTTCTTGATGGAACATGTCAGAAAGTGTATCGCCTATCTTCACATGAAACTTCCGATCCTGTAGGAAATGTTTGATGAATATCGGCATGTTTCCTCGTAAACCATTACTATATAGGTCACGAAGGATACCGTATCTCCAGGTGGTATCATAGGCTTTCTATTATCAAAGAAAAATGGAAACATAATGATTTCTTCTAACGAACGCTCTACGGATACCTGTTTTTAAGAGTAGGATATTATCGACAGTTGCTCTTCCTTTTCTAAAACCGTTCTGATAAGGGGAGATACAATTATTTGTCTCTAAATAATAGACCAGACAAGTGTTGACCATCTTTTCAAAGAGTTTGCAGAGGCAGCTAGTTAGGGCGATGGGACGGTAATTCGACAGATTAGTAGGGTCTTTTCCCGGTTTAACAATGGGGATGACAAAAGCTGTTTTCCAGGCATTTGGAAAGTCTTGTTCCTTCCATACTCTATTAAAAAGAAAGAGGATGGCTGCCAATGACTTGGAAGGAAGATGTTTCAGCATAGGATAGGCAATATCATTTGGACCAGGACATGAATTTTTTGTCTGCAACAGAGCTCTTTTCAGTTCAAGCACAGTAAAATCCTTATTATATGGTTCAGTATTGGGAGATTTGAAATTAATTAGTTGCTTTTCAATGCATTTTTTTTTTTTTTTTTTTTTTTTTTTTTTTGCGGAAAGAAATTCAAGAGGGTAGTTACTACTGTGTGAGACGGCTGAGAAACTCTGTCCAATAGCGTTGGCAATTCTTTCCCTACTAGAAACTGCTTCACCACTTGTCTTTAAAATGGAAAGTGTGTGCTCTTTGTAGATACCGAACGCTTTCCGGACTCTCTCCCAGACCTTCTTACTCGAAGTTGAAGAGCTAATCGAAGATACATACGAGATCTCCAAGAATTCTTCTGACTTTTCCTTCGCACCTGCCGAGCTTTTGCTTTAGCCCTTTTGAATATTATGAGATTTGATTCTGAAGGATATCGCCGAAAAATGCTCCAAGCTTTCCTTTGTTTGTGATGTCATCCTGGCATTCAGGATTCCACCAGGGCTTTGGGTATTTGGCTGTTTTTACCGACGTTTTTTGGTATACATATATCAGCTGCTTGAATAATGTTATCTGTAATGATCTTCACAGCCTGATCAATGTGCACATTCTTTACTATTTTCTTCAGTAAAAGAGCATAATGTAAGAAAGAGTCCCAGTCGGCTTTGTCCAACAAAAAAGCGTGGTGTTTCTAGGTATAAAAACACTCCTATTTCCTGTAATGCTTATGATAATAGGAAAATGATCGCTATTATATAGATAATTCTCGACATTAAAGAAACAAAATGGCAAAAGCTGTGAAGAAACAATAGCAAGGTCAATGGAATGGAAGGTCCTTGTTGGCTGACTGATGAAAATAAGTGCTTTCTGCGTTGTTAAGGATACAGAGACAGTGGTCGTGGAGTAGCTGTTCAATTTGCTTCCCGCGTGGGTTTGTGTCTTTACTACCCCACCAAGGGATTGTGTCCATTGAAATCACCGACTAGAATAAACGGAGCTGGTAGTTGGGCAATTAGATCCTCTAAATCTCTTAAATTAATGTTCTCATTAGGCGGGATGTAAATACTGCAAACAGTAGTCAGTGTTCGAATGCTCAACTGTACTGCAACTGCTTGGAGAGGAGTATCCAAAGGGAGAGCACTCGAAGGGCAATTAATTGAGGTAAGTAGACAAACACCACCACTTGCGCGTTCAACTGAATGTCTTATCCTTTCTTATCATCGAGTATTTACGTAGCTTTGCAAAATTACCAGGTTTGAGGAATGTCTCTTGCATCGCTATACAAATAGGTCGCTATTTATTAATAAGTTGCTTAATGCCATCAATACGCTGATAGAAGCCCTGGCAGTTTCACGAAATGAGAGTAGCCATTAGGAATGTTTATTGCTTCAATGCTGTTTCTTTATTTTGTGAGGTAGAACATTTTTCGAGAGATCTCTGCCTCCATCTGTTTCCATTTCAGATTCGATATAGTCTGAAAAGATCCCTTCAATAGAGCTTCGGCTTGAGCTTCTCTTTTCTGAGCTTTTGATTTTCTTTTTTGAACTCTCTGTTTCTTGTGTTTTTATTTCTCGACTGTCTATTGTATGTTTGGGAGGAGGTAGAGGAAAACCTTTTTCTTTGTAATTTGTTTTTGGTTCAGGTGTCTTCTTCTGTGTGCTATGCGATGTTTGTGTACTTATTGACCGATATGATTTAGTGGCTTGTGCATAGGAGACATTTGCTTTTGACTGACCCGTGCTAAAAAGTTTCTTAGCTTCAGGATAGGATATTTTTCTTGTAGTCTTAATATGCTGTATTTCTTTCTCTTCTTTCCACTTAGGGCAGTTTCGTGAGTATGCTGGATGATCGGCATGACAGTTTGCACATTTTGGATCAGTTACACATTCCTGACTCTCGTGACCACCTGCAGAACAGCGAGCACATGCCAGGTTTGTCCGGCATGCGGCCTTCGCATGGCCAAACCGTTGACACTTGAAGCAGCGCAGTGGGTTCGGCACGTAAGGTCTGATGGGGAAATTCAGGTAACCTGCCTTAATGGCTTTCGGTAGCTCTGGAGATGAAAAAGTCAGAATAAGATGTTTTGTGTTAACGAGTTGCCCGCCTCTACGGACTTTTATTCGGCGGACCCCACATACATTTTGCTCGGCGAGTTCTTTTGAAAGTTCATCCTCAGACACTGATATCAAGTCTATTTCCGAAATGACACCTCTTGACGTGTTCAAAGACTTATGTGGGGATACAGTAATAGAATGTTCCTCCATTTTGGTCATTTTTAGGAGAGAGGAAGATTGTGCGTCAGATGTAGTCTCGATGAGCAGAGATCCTGAACGGAACTTTTTTATGCGTTTTGGCTCGCCTGCTGAGGCCACAATATGCTTATGGATGAAGAATGGTGATAAATTTTCTAGCTGACCAGTAATAACTAAGCACTTTGGACATTTGCTTGTGCTAACTAAGGTCGAAGTGAAAATTCTTTTAGCAGCTCCAGAATTTTTTCGTATCCATATGGTTAGGAGAAGAAAGAAGTTAAAGTTTTCATATTGAAAAGAGAGAAAGTTTCGGGCCCGACCGCCCCACCCACCATGGAGCCCAACAAGGGAACACAGATCCCTGTGTTAGGGCTAGCCTGGCCTACACGCAAACTGAAGCCCCATAGTCGGCTTTCCCGAAAGCGGAGACTTCCGAGAGTTTATCCCCTAGCCACTGACCAATAGGACTAGTGACCAGACGATTGACACTAGCGGGGACAGCTAAGTGCCTCCCGTTTTAAGTAGAAGCAGAGGCCAAACGCAGTGTGTTGGGGACAGTATCTCGCCCCTCAACTACCAGGATCCTTCTTTCCCACCCTACGGGTCACCATGCACGGCAAACGCATAGGCGGTATTCTCATTATGGTGAAACAGAAACCAGAGTAGTAGCTGCATCTCACAGTGAGCCCCAACCTCCAGTAGAGACCCAACCTCCAGTCCACAAGGGAGAGAAATAGGAGAGAAAGAGCTAGACAAGAGGAGAGGAAAGAAAGAGGAGGAAAGGTCACTGGGGCCCCGGGAGTGTGACACCCGATCACCAAGACGGCAATCCCTTGAGGGTTCTTCACCTGCTATGCTTTAGTTGGGCATCCGCGTAGTGTTAAATGGCTGAGTACATAATAAAATAATAGCGGGATAATATGAAAGTACCAAAAAATATTTGAGACAGTATGAGAATTCCTCATAAGTTTGGCCATATGCGTATTAACGTAAACCTGATGTGGGCATTTCCATAAATCCTAGGTGCGTTGTATAGGACAGAATCCTATTTACGGCAGGAACAAATAAGCAGATATAATTCTCATAACTTTAATAGCGTAACGTTTCGTCTGGCTTGCAGCATAACATACTTAAGCCTTCTTCATAGTATCCTCTTGTGATGTTTCTTCCGACTCGGTGTAGCAGAGCAGAGAGGCAAATGGGAGCGCTAGATAAAGCTAAAGTGCGCATACGTGGCGTTTACCATATCATGACAGGTATCATAACAATTTTTATCGTAAAGTAAACAAAAAAATCCCATTTTAATTTTTATAATTAGTCTAAAGGGGCTTTGTCCCTGAAGGACTATTGTTTTCGTTTCGCGATTTCGCGTTAGTTCACTTTAAATGTCCGTTTCACTTTTCAAACTATTGCCACCAAATGTTAGAGACAGCAATGTATCTGAAGAAATTAAATAATGAAAAATCTGCATAAATGTATGTATATTTGTGACAAAACAACGGTACATAGAGTCATCGAATTTTTGAATGACGTAATCCTATTGCAAATATGGGTATGTGGAAGCCCAAATTTGAAATTTGGAATTTGTTTTATGATCGATTTCCTATTTTGTAAAACTTTAACGAATTTTTGATTAACAAACTCAACGATTTCAAAGCGAGCACAGAAAAAGTACTTTTATCTTCAGCGCGTGAGACTGAGTATCGGAAATTCTAAAGATAGTATGCTCAATTTAAAACTATTTTGCGATATTGCTCTTGAATTGAATTTTATGGTTTAAGTGCGAAGAACGTGATATTTAATAAATAAAGGTAACAGACACAATGTTAAAAAAACACCCCTTTGGACATAATTTAAAAAATTTAAAATCTGAAATCTTTCAGATTTTTTTATTTATTTATTTTTGCCATATAATTAATAAATTTCGGTGTGAGTTCCTCTTGTTCCTTTGCAGGTATCAAACCGATGTTCTGTTTCCTTCCACGTCATATTTCTGTTGATTGAGGCAAAGAAAGCAACAATCATTTTTCAACAGATGGCTGTATCTCAAGAGTTTCCCAGAAGCTGCTCTGAGAAATTTTAAATTCTGTTCAGTGTTTTAACCTGTGTAATAGCCTGTACTGTTTAAAAAAGACGCCGATATGCAAGTAGAGTTTAGTTTAATGCAAAGCAAATGGTTGAAAATATTGCGTATATAATCTTCCAGTTTATGAGAAAAATTTGTATTTTATATATTTTGTCTCCAGGACTCACACTGGCATTTCTGTCCCTGCATCGCTACACGAAGCAATCAAATGAAGATAGCCGGTATACAGCTTGCAGATTTGCAAGCTAGACGCGGGGGGGGGGAACTGCAAACAGCACAGAAGTAGAGTTTAGTGTGTGAAAGAGTTACGTTTGGGTTTGGTTTACTTGATTATGGCAAAGCACACTAGGGCTATCTGCCTAAGGGGATGTATGCCTTCATGGAGGATTTCCGAAGGAAAACTAGGTAGTGTTCACGTCACAAATGGGAAAGACGCCCATGCAGTCAGTCTGCTCGTCTGGAAACGAACCCAAGTCGAAACCATCACAGTTCAGCAATTTTTACCCTCGGCGGTTGGTGAGTCAGTGCGTGAGAGAGAGAGAGCAGCAGTGAGTAATGGTAATATATTTTCTACTTCCCAGCACACGACTCATACATTTAGTATAGTCATACCATAATTCTAAACATGTCATACTTTTCACGGATTGCTTTCTTTAGTATAAGAGGCACAAATTTCGTTTTTTACGTTTACAACTTCAATTTTTCTTTACATATTTTGAATAAAAGTTTGTTTGATGGCACTCTCATTGTTTTTTCAAAATAACCTTTTTAGTTTTGGAAAATGCACCTCTTTTATACATATACTACCTCATAATAACATTTTTTTCTTATTTTACGTAAGTAGCATTAGTTTTTTTTTATAGAATGTCAATTTCTATAGAATATTAGAATACCTAGAACTATGAAGATTGATTTTCTATGAAACACAATACAAGGATTTAAAACTAAGTATGCTTATTTTTCGAAAATGTTTTGCGACACAAAATACTACTAGGGGTACAAGAAGGAAGAATTCTGCGCAGCAACTACTAGCACGATCTAATCATATAAAAGTAATTGTCTATTATTCCAAATCTAACTATTTTATAAGCAATAATAAATGATTAATCAAGAAAAGAAATTTATCAACGCGTATTTTTATTCAGATTTCAGAAAAATAAAAATTATTCTTTATTTCTTTCTAGTACAAAAATTTTGCATTATTATGAAGGAGAATAGGATTTAGCATGAAAACTGTTTTAACTGACCTTCCTTCCTCATAAGTGAGAGGATTGAGTGAACCATCAGATTCCGGGTTTACTGCAGCTATCACCAGTTCCACAAAAGCATAGCAGAACATGCCTAAGCAAAACACGGCATGCAACCAGTACAGAAAACGCCACCGTTTATGACCTAATTTTACGCACAATCAAAATAATAATTTACATAAATTACACTCTGTAAATTAAATAATTACAAACAAATTACACGTAAATGTTTAAAGCACAGGTAGTGTTGTTAATTTAAATAAAAAGTAGCATAAGCAATCATTATATATTAAGCATATAAGACATAAATAATGAAGTAAATAATATATTTATTCGAAAATCAGACACCTATATTTGCTATATTTTTGTTCTATAATTAGTAATGTCCGATTATCGGCTATTTTGACAAATAAAATTGCAGAAAGAGGGATGGAATTCAGTTATCACCCTATACAAAATAATTACAGTATTTAAATACTAAATAACTCGCACAGGTTAATTACTGTATATATAAACGGCATAACTATCACTAATTACAGTAGCTACGTCTAGTTAAGAGATTTCATTTTAAGCCTGCATCCACTATACTGGTTGTTGGTATGCTTGAAAACAAATGGGTAACAAATGCATTATTAGTTTTTCCTTATTTGTTTTCTGTATCATAGTAATATATTGTATTTAATTATGTACTTTGTCTTTCACTCTAATCAGAAACATATGAAGGTACTTGCGTATTAACGACACCGCAGCTGCAGATTTGGCGGTTTTTAAGTGCCGCCTATCTACACCTAATGTTTTTGCGACAAATCATAAATTAAAATACTTTATTTAAAATCAAAATACTTTCAAAAATCAAATTAGTCAATCGAATTTCTGTGGAAAATGGGCCGATATAGAGTTTAACATAGATTCAAAATAGTCTCTATTTTCTTTGACCTGATGCTATCGCCATATGAACTCTGCTAAATAAGATTCTAAATGATGTCTCGCTGTCCCCCTATGTCTCTTGTTCCTCCATTTAGCACTGCTCCACATTCTCTCAACGGTTTGTGTATGAACTCCTGTATTAGGATCAATCAAATTGTATTTTATGATTAACTTTAGCATGTTGGAATCCTTCTTTTTCTATTCTATTTGCTTGGTAACCTTTTCAACTGTCAGAATAAATTCTGCTACCATCTGCAATGTTTTCAATAATTTTATTAAGAAGGGTAGAGCCAATTCTATTAGGGACAAAAACAACAAACGAATCTTTTATTTCTCTACATATACCACCAAACACCCACTGTTCGGATAATACTCGACCAAAATTATTTTTATGCTTAGTAAACAAACTTTTATCAATTTCCACAATGCAGTCTGGTCCACCTATCTTGTTGTTTGGTTTATTCTCCGTAGCCAAGACACATAATTCACGCATGTAATTGTTCCAATCTATAACAGTTTTATCCAATCAATAAATCAAGTTGCTTTTCACAAAATTTAATCGACGTCAACACCTCGCACCAGCAGTATATGAATCTCAAAGCTAAACAAAATGGAATTCTGCTTTCTTCAAACCAGTTGTCTTTTCTAAATCCCACTTGCTGATCACACTGTCTCAAATTACATTTCCAAAACGTACGTTTACCAAAATAAAGTTTCATATCATGGCAGTTGGTACATTTTCGTTTTTTTTTTTTTTTTTTTTTGGTAAAATATTTTGCTCCCGAAAAAATAAAATTGAATCTTCTTCTGTGTTTGGCAAATCCCAAAGACGCATTTTCGTAGCACTAAAAAATGGTGTCAAAAATCAGCAAACAACAAGGCAAAAACGAATCCAAAAGATAACTGCGTGCGAACAACAAGATTGTTCTTATTGTATTGGATGGTATTGGCGCATCCGCGCAACTTCTGCTGCGGTGGCATTAATACGTAAGTACCCATATGAATCATAAATAGAACTATGTGCTAATCAAATATTCAACTACATTTAATTTCTTAAAATTTATCCTAAATTGTAAGAAAAGTTTTATTCTTGAGTAAATTCGGTAAATGAAATTGAATATTATGCAACTAAGCTGAAGGATAATGAGTTAATTGAGTTCGTACAATAATACGTTTAATCTTTAACAACTTCTGAATAAGCATAAGTTTCTAACGCCAAGCTACAATATGCAGCTCATAAGTAAAAAAAATGCGTAACACGTACTTCCTTTGAGAATATGTCTACTTAAAACATAGATCTGATTCCAGTAAATTTATTTTCCCTACGTGTTTATTTCCCGGAAAAGTACATAATTAAAAAGATATTAATAGATCATCTTACCACTAAGATTAGGTCTGATAGCTATACAAGCCGTCAAGATGGCTGCCGTTCCATATAGAGGCTGTTAAATACAAAATTACTTGAAAAGCTTTAATAAATATGTACAAATCGAAAAAATATTTTAGTTTACGGAACTTTTAAATTCATTTTAGAAATTTATTGTGTGAAACGGATTATTTATCATTTAAAATAATAAATTTACTATTCTTTTAGACTATAAAGATTAATTTTAAAACATTCTTTCTTATAGTTTTATCGAATTTTTTGAAATAATTTTACTTACCACCCACAAAAATGGATCTGGATCGTTGAACTGAAAAGAAATAATATATACGCTCATATACAGTACGAAGTCAATAAAGTTAGACAAAATATTGAAAAACCTTTCCTTTAAAATGGAAAAAACTCAATTTTTAAAATAAATTCTTTATGAGATTTTACGAAATGTTAAGATTAGAAGTGGAAAATTCCAGTAAATCTGTTTATATTATAAATGCTCAGGAGATACACTTCGCCCAAATAATAATAATAATAAAAAAGGACAGTTCTATATCTCCCATTCTACTGGGCCGATTGACAAAATTCAGCTTGCGTTTTTCATGTCTCGAAAGCGCGATTTAGGATATATATTAGATTTATATACAGCATTATTCTAATATAGGTATTTTGACGCAATATCGGACTTTTTCTGAAATGTCATGCCAATTTTTTTCCATATTTCGATTCCACGACTCACATTATGCATAAATATTAAATTTTGTAAAATTTAGTGCGAAATTTATGAAGAAATTAAAAAAATATATCTTGGCGCATTTTCTTCTGCTTGCGCCAAGAATAATTCACTTGGCGAACTTCTTAATATATGGCAACCTATTTTTCCTTTCTAATTTGTAAACTATCTTGCAAGAAAAATTTATTATCTTTTTAAGTATTTTAAGCGTAAAAAGTTACCTAATGTTATTTTATAATTAAGAGATTAATAATAAACGTTTTCAAAGAGGATGCCGCATTTATTGAGCTTCGTTTATATGTTCGTGTAACAGAAAAGGTTATGGCAGTACTTTCTGTGGCTCAGAATTAATTAACTTTATCAGGCAGAATACAAATTTGATATTTTAATGATAAATGTAACACAGAAATATTTGTCGGTCTTCAATAAGTAAAAGAATTCCTAAAGCCTACCTGTACTCCAGATGCCATTATGAAAAATAATGTCATCATGGAGTTCGCGCCTCTCCAAATAATTTTACCACCACTTTCGGATGCCTTTTGTTTTTCTGATTTCTTTGTTACCTCATCCTCCGCTTCTGTATCTCTGAAACGAAAAATAATAATATTAATAATAATACTGTTATTCATAAATGATATAGCAACCTCACTCAGAGCCAGCACTAGAGCAGGTGCAATTGGTGCGCTTGGCTATGCGACAAAATTAGGGACACATCGAGTGGTAGAATTTAGGAACTGCAAACGGACAAAGGAAAACTGCCAGGCCTAGTCTTAGTTTTTAATTATGTACATACTTTATACAGGGTGTTCGGGATAAATTTGACAGTTTCGTAAGGAAACAACAACAACAATATTGGCTTCCCTGCCCCGTGTAACTCAATCACATAACAGGTCCACTTCCCCTTTGGGCACGTCGTGGAGGTTCAACCTCCACTATTACCCTCCAAGGGAGCAGCGCACCACCTGGATAAGACACCAGGCAGCACCGGTCGTCTAATGCTCCTACCAGTCGCTTGGGCGAACCCGTCACAGCGGGACATTACCCAGCGAACCCGGGGGAAAACCCCCGGGCTACTAGTACCACGCCGCGCTAGGACGTGCCAGACTCCGAGGCCGGCCAATAAGTGACCTTTCCCAGAGCCTTCAGAACCACCAAGTTCATGAATTTTATACCCCCGTGGCCGAGACTGCCTAGGTACAGATCCTAGCCAGTAGCTTCGCAGAGTTCTCTATGTCGACCCCCGGGGGGGGGAAAGAAAATCCGCTTGCATGAGTAGTAGCGAAGGTCTTCATTGGGTGCAAGCTTCATAGTAGAGGCTGCAACATTCATTTCACGTGACAAAGCCCGAATTCCAATGCCAGGGTTCTTCAACACCTGTTCTTGCAGATTTGCGAGGAATTCTGCTGTACGAAAGCAATCAGATCGTCTGCTAGGGATCTTTCGTCTTGCTACATCCTCGTAGTCACAATTGCAAGTCTCTAGTTCATACCTGATTGTTTTTACTGTGTTCAGGGAGCATTGGGTAGCAGTCATAATATCCTTATTTTGATGGCCGGCACGAATCATCATGATGCAACTTATTCTCTTCCGTGATTTAGGTGGGTTCCAGTCATCCATTCTTTCTTACATCTTGTATATGAATGAAGAAGGGTCCAAACTTTTAAATGACGAGTAGTGTGTGTCAATACTCCAACCTACGGGAAAATATAGTCAATTATAAATATGTCAAATTTATTCTGAAAACCCTGTATATTATACCTCATGATTTAAAAAAAATCTGATGAGTACACCACATGACTCCTTGTACGAAATATTAAATTATACACATTTTTCCTGTATTTCATTTAAACTTACTGAATTGAATTAAATCTGCTTCGTCGATAGCGCATAAACCACAATAGAATAAATGCACTCTTTAAAATTCACTATATTTATTTCCCATAGCGACACTCTGGCACTAGGCTCACTTAACAGCTTTACATCTCATTCATTTTATAATTCGGAATGCACAAAAATTATATCATCTGAAGAATTATCTAATCGTTGCCACAGGTTCTATTCAAATACTACAGGTTCAGGTGGAAGTGTAGTGGGACACCCAATGTTTACTATAAGTAATGTAGGTATGTCCCACTACACTTTGGTTTATTTTTAAAATTATTTAAAATAGTACATAATAATATATTGACATTATGATTGATATCATAGCTATTAGATATAATTATAATAGGTATAATAATAGTAGGCCAACAGTCATAATTATAATAGTTCCTTGAGATAAAGTTTATTATATGAATCCGTACCGTCTTCGTTTTCTTTCCCCTTTTTTACTATATCATTATTATTGCATGGATTTGTTTTTAAGATAATTATGTAATTTTGGATGAGTTCCAGCTTCAAAAATGAATTTTGACATTAATTACGTTAGTGCTCAAATAAATTTTTGCCTGTTGAAAATAGATATTTGATTGCATTTTCTATTTTATTTTTTAAATGTTTGTTGTTAATTGCAAAACGAAGGAAGGCATTGCTATTTGAATTAGGCAATTTAATATGAGCTGACTTTGTTAATGGACATTGGGTAACATAATGGGGCTAATCTTTGGAATATGATAACAGGTAGTTTGGAGACATTTTGGTAAGGCGATAAAGGTTACTAGTTAGGAGTTTAGTAGTGTACATGAATAAAGTCAAGAGTGGGCGCAATGCCATTTTTGTGCAATTCTGAGATGTTTTTTTTAAGTGAAAATAGGTCGACTTGTACATGGATGATACCGTGTATGTGCAATTCTTAAAAACGCGGCAAGCAGTTTGCGATTCTGCGCTTTCTCCCAATTTCGCACCTAATCTTCGTCATGATTAAGCACTTTTGTTCCATAAAAGTTCTAGCATAAGCGTAATTCGGCTAGCAGATTGTTGGAAAAAAATGTTGAGTAAAAAAAAAAAAAAAAAAAACCTTTACTTCGTGAAAACAAAATGGCGTCAAAGCAAAAACTAGCAGGTTGCTGTAGCAGGGTTGGTCGCCAAATTTTCGCCAAAAAATCTTCAAGTTACCATAATTCAAAGATTAACCCATAATGGATTAGATCACCTTTATTCCCACCTACACATTGCTCAGAGTTTGAGATGTTTATTCTGAAGAAGTATGTGGGAAATGGCCCATGTTCAGTTAAAAAGCGGTTTATATAACGACCATTGTACGTGTATCATTTACATGAGGTGCTATTTGATGTAATTGTTTTCCTGTATTTATCGTTGTCCATTCTTCTTCCCACATTTGGAAGCTGATTTTTATGTAGATATTTCTTGAGATATGATTTCGGCGAAGAGATTTTTCTTGAAGGGATATTATTGTTGGTAGTAGCTGATTTGGTTGCTGAATCGGCTTCTTCGTTACCAAGAGCTCCGACGTGAGCCTTTATCCAATAAATGTTTAGTGATATTTGAGGATATTGGATAATTTTATTAAAAATATCTTGAATTATTTCAGATGTATGTTTGGGATTTTGTAGAGCTAATATTACTGATTGACTATCTGAGAAAATATTGATTTTTTGTAAATTGTTATTCGATTGCCATTCGAATTATTTGCCATTCGAATTGCGTGTAGTTCTGCTTGGAAGATACTATTTTCCTTGGCGAGTCGATTTTGAAGAGTTATTTTCTGGATTTGATCTATTTGTATTATACATGCACAGCCAACTCCTAAGTCCATTTTCGATCCATCTGTATATATTATTGGTGGAGATATATGACTGGCTGGAGGTTTTATTGTGCTATATATTTTAGCATTAGAGGCAGGATGTCTTCTGTAGGGGTTGATTGAAGTTTCAAAATTGTTTGGATTAAATATTTTATCATGTAATATGCAGGATTTTTTTAATTTGAGGACCGTGGCTTTTGCATGTTCAGTTACCGCTAATATATGAAGAGGTGCTATTCCTGAAAGTACGCATAGGGCAGCATTTGCTGTTGTTTTATTACATTTTGTAATCCTGAGTAGGAAGTGACGTTGTATTTCTTGCAGTTGTTTTTGTTTCCGAACAGTCATAGGTTGCGACCAAATTTCTGCACCATATAAGACTATTTTTGTTATTACTGTATCGAACAAATATTTTTTGAGTATGAAGATTTAGTCTCCAATTTAGTCCTTGGACATAACGTAAGTTGTTTGCTATTTTGTGTTTTAATTCTGATATATTTGAGATGCTCAATCCAGTTGAGGTTTTTGTCAATGATTATGCCTAGGAATTTAAGTTTTGGAACTACTTTTAATCTGTTATTTTCTATTGAAAGTTTTAGTAGACAAGTGGGTACTTTTCCTTTTCGCCGGCGCAAATCTCGCCAAGCAGACTTTATTGGCGAAAACACATAGTATCACATAAAAAGTGTTGACAAATGTCAGTTCTAAGAATTTTTTATTTTGAAGGTATAAACATTTTAATGTCGTTTAAAATTTTGTAAAAAAGCCAATAAAATAAAAGCAATAAATTTGTAAAAAGACATTAATTTAAGAATTTACTATGCTTTCATGGTTCAACGTCCTGATTCGCCGGTTCGTATCACGTGACCCCAAGTGATCTCATCTCACGTAAACTACGCTACAAAACTCGAATTCTCTCAGTAATTATCTACATTAATTTCAAGTTAAATCTTAATTTGGAATACAAGTTTAAATGCAAGAATTATTTAGCTTACTCAGAAATTATGTAAAACCGCAGTGCTTTATTTCGCTAGTGCATTCTCATTAGAATTGATGAATTCAACCCTTGACTTTTCCTTTTCTATATTTTCGGCATCGGGTGAGCGGTGTGATTGCATCCTAATTGACTTAATTACCGCCCGCGAATGGCCTTTGGGCATAAAATTGAACTATCTTGTAAAAATTCTATGTAATTGTATGCCAGTATTGAAAGAAACAATCAATCTGATAAGAAATGGCTGCGACTTGTTTTGAAAATGTAAAAGTTAAAGTAAAAGGTTACCAGCGAGGATATTTCGTTTGGCATCGGTTGTACCATGACTGGCGACTTTATCTCTTGCGCCGGCAAAGCGGAAAAGTACCGACGAGGGATTTTTTTATGGAAAATTATAGTTTTGATTTTTCTTCACTTATTCTCGGTTTCAATTTATTGCATTCAATTTAAAAAAAATGAGTTTCATTTACATTATTTTCCAGAATATTTCTTGTTCTACCAGTGATCAGAAAAGCTGCGTGGCCAGCAAAAACAACACTTTGTGTATGGTTTGGCCATTTGAAATATGTTATTCAGTTAAAAGTAAGGTTCCAAAGGTCAGCACTAAGGCAGGAACTCCGTGGACAACCTCTTTGTTGAGTATATTCTATTATCTTGTAAGGATTTATATTTATTTTAACTAATAATTTAAATTTTTATTTGAAACTTTCCTATAAGCCTTCGTTTCCTTAATTTTCAGTGCCAGAATAGTTAAATGTTGTAGAGCGTGAACGAATGTAAATCTTCTATGTTGAAGGAAGTACAGTAAGACCCCGCTTAACGCTGTTTCGTTTAGCGCTGTTTCGGTTTAGCGCTCTTTTATTTCAACCCGGGGATTCTCCGAAATTG